CTATGCAGTATTTCTCTTTTTGTGTCTGACTAATTTCACTCAGCATAATTTTCTCAAGGTTCATCCATGAGAAGATACCTCTTGAAAGAAAGACTGACAGGAAAAATACAAAACAATAGAGGCAGACCAACCGATTACTACAAGAACAAGCAAGTTGCCTGCCCAGGAGACATCAAGGCAAGGGGTCGGGTCCCCTTAGAGTAAACTCCCTTCTAAGACTAAGACTCAATGGGCATACACACTCTGATGGGTGACCACATTCACTACCGACAAGGGAAACTGAGGGAAAAACAGCTATGAGGCTGCGAGCTAAGCCCTACAATGTTCAATAGACTCCTGTGAACCCAGGTGGAGACCTGGTTGGCCAGCAGTATGGCAAGACCTGGGGATTCTTGGGCCCAGAATCAGTGACAGCCATGGAGGACTGGAGTGGAGAATGAAGTGTCTAGTGGATAAGAAGAGAGGGCATATCCACAAGAGCACCCACACTTGCAGATAATACCCATTTGACCTAGCTTCAATGACTGGATGATCAGAGTGTAACTAGAAGAAGAAAGAAGAGGAAAAAAAGAGTAATCTGATACAATTTGATCAACTTGACCTACACCTATGGATGAAGCAACTCAAAAGAGGGAACAAATCTTTACAGCAAGGATCATTCCCACTCCCTCCGTACACTGAGTAGACAGGGATGGGCAACTTGGACATTGGCTATCCAAAATGGGGGGCCTACAAAGGCAAGAAGTGAGTGGCTTACAAGCTTTCAAGAGGGAACCTAGATCCAGAGGGCCTGGAGGAAGGTAGAATCTCTACTGAGTAGTATCCAATCTATCTAGGTGGGACTGATTAAAGGAAATGCGGATAGGTGTCTTGTGATACAAGGGTGAATAATTGTTACCAGGACTGATTGTGAAGGTTGTAAATGTAAAAGTAGACATTTTGTGGCAAGGAGGGGAGTGATTAACTTTGCAGGCTAGGAGCGGAGTTCCCTGGAACAATGAAGCGAGAAGAGTGGAGAGCAGAATCCTACCCAGAGAGGCAGCGATCCCCAAGATGGAGGCAGAGATGATGACATGTAGAGATGGAGCAGCTGGGTACTCAGGACCCAGGGAGGGAGAAGGGCTGTTTGCTGACGACAGTGGGGAGGAGGGTAGCAGGCTTATAGGATGTACCCTTTCGTTGGTTGGTGATGCGTGGAGGTGGTTGTAAAAAAAAGGAAAAAGAAATAGCAGGAGAAAGAATATAGGAAACAAATCAGCAGTTCAAACCCACCAACCTAACCTTGGAAACCCTATACAGGGTCGCTGTGTGTTGGAACCGACTCAACAGTGCTTAACAACATGTTTTTTATCCTGTATATGAGGGGCTTAAAAAAGTGAGTGGAACAATTTCAGTGCCTTTCAATTCCATTTTACCATGAACTTTTTGATGCCCCCTATACAAACACACACACACACACAGACTACTCCTTGGAAACCCTGTACAGGGTCACTATGAGTCAGAACCAACTCAATGGCATTTAATGATGACATAGGGAGATTTAACTGAGTAAACTCTAGTGGATAAAAACTGGCTTTGAATTACTTGAACATATGAGAATTGTTTGAAGAAAAGAATCATTGGATGAAAAGACTTTTGTTGGATGGTAGGGAAAACAAGTCTGGGATTCAAGGCTGCTGTAGATAGTCCTTTAAGTGAATTAATCCATGTGCATAAGCAACTTTCTTTTCTCTGATTTTTGAAAAGGAGAGTTGAGAAGCCAATATCTAGTGAAGAGCTACAGGAAAAGTAATTAAAAAGGAAAATGGCTTTTCTAGGAACACCCCAAAAGACTTGAGTTTGGTTTTCCTCCCTCTCTCTAGCCTTCCTATGCTTCTTCCCATCCTTTCTCTCTTCCTTTCTTCTCTTCCTTCTTCCCCTTCTGCTGTCTCTCCTTCCCTGCTCCCTCTCTCCCTTCCAGTTGTCTAAAGGTATGTCCTAAGTTTCTACAACATTCTGCTAAAGTCTTGCCTATTATGGTACTTAAGGAGCTCTGGTAGCATACGTTATGAGTCAGGCTGCTAATCTCACAATCAGCAGTTCGAAACTACCAGCTGCTCTGAAGGAGAAAGATGAGACTTTTCTGCTCCCATAATGATTCACAGCCTTGGAAACCCTGTACAGGGTTACTCTGACCTGTACATAGTGAGGCGACTCCACGGCACATAACCACCAACCACCGTTATAAGATTTACTCGTTACCTCATTGTACCCTCTGGGTGGTACCCAGATCTCTGTCTCCTCATCAGACTATAATCAACTGGAGGGAAGTAAGTACACATTATTCACAGTGACCCCATTGTGCCTTACAGGCCCTCCTCAATGAATGTAAATTTACCTTTTTAATAATTTAAGTTAGAGGGACTCGATAACTTTAACAATATGAATTATTATGATGTGAAATATGCTATATAATTGTTCTTTGGGGAAAGGGGGGAGAAAGTTCTACTGGAAGAATAGAGGGGTTTTCCAGGCACAAGATAAAAACATATTTTCTACACAGTAAGGGTAATGAAATGCTGCAATAGCTTACTAGGCTAGAAGGTGAGATCTCCATCCCTGGGGAGGTTGAAAAATTGGACAGAGAAAACATCTGTGAGGATGGTTTAAGCATCAAACTTGTCTTGAGGCAAGTCGATGGAAAGAATGACAAATTGTTCTGTGATGACTTAGCTTGGGGAAGAGAAGACCAAGAGGGAGACATTAACACTTCTTCAAACATGGAAAGTAGCTATCATTGCTTTCCATGGAATATGGAAAATAAGCTTAACTTCAAGTCTTAGGCATTTAGGTTACATTTTATAATTAAGGACTTTAAGTCATAGGCTGTGGAAATCTGAAAAATACAAGCTACTGATTTTTGTGAGATGTGGGAAGCCACATGATTCTCTTGCAGCATAGATATTTTGTGCACTAGTCCAGGTAGGGAGAATTATTTCAGTGCATTATATTGAGGGTGTACCTTATATTTTGGGAAAGTAAGATTCTAAAGGTTTAAATTAATTAATTAATTATTTTTTTAAATCCCATTTTTTGTTGTGAATTGAGTGAAGGTTTAGAGAGCAGATCATCAGTTTTGCATCCAACAAATCATACTGATTCCACTGCCTCTCTGTGTTTCTTGTTTCCATTCTCCCTTCTGAATTTTGTCCTTTTGATCTTGAATGGTTGACATTTCTTTGGCACGTGTACCTCACTAGTGTTGTTGTCACCCCTATGTACATACCTATTGCCTGGCTGAAAATTGAACCCCAGGGAGAATTCAGTTAAAGAATGTTGGAACCTCAAGGCTGTGGTCCTTGCTTCAGGTCTGAAACTGAACTGGTTCCCATAAAAGTTTTATTTTAAAGCACCAATTTTCATCACTGCTTTAAGGATAGGATGTAAGCTTATAGATGTGAAATCCTTCCCTTTAAATACCTCTGGTGACACCATAGTATAAGCACTGGATTGCAAACTGCACGGCCAGCATTTGAACCCACCAGCCACTTCAAGGGAGAACGATGTGGTTTGCTGTGATTGTAAAGATTACAGCCCCACAAACCTTTTAAAAAGGGGGTGTTATGAGTTGGACTCAATTTGATGGCAGTGGGTCTGGTTTAATAGGTTACTGGTGTGGCACTGTATGATAAGCACTGTACTGGTAACTGCAAGATTGACAGTTCAAACCCACCAGCCATTCTCAGAAATCCTTCCTGAGTGTTGCTATGAGTCAGAACAGACAAGACCGCACAAAACAACAGCAGACCTGTATTATTAAATCTGTTAGGAAGGGTCTGGGAAGGAGCTGTCTTATTTTGGCCAATGAAATCTTGCCACTATAAATGTAAATGAATTCTATCAATAAAAAGGGAATCAAAATACCTATAAAAAAGATACAAAAACAAAAAAATTTACTATTAGTTACTTGATTGTAATGTCAACATGAAACCACACGATGTCGCAATTGGATTTTGATTCTCACTGTGTGTTGCTCTCATTAGATGAAGGCATTTTCAAAGCTGGAGCTGAGAGATCTGAAATGCGGGGGGCAGCAGAAGTCCAAGAAGATGAAGATACTCAGGTTGAGGTTCCAGTTGATCAGGTATTTTCCATGCCTTTTCATATATATGTATGTAAACCAATTACTATTGGCTTTCTTTTCTCTCAAGTTTTGTGTAGCCTGCTCCTTGGCTGTTCCTACTCAAAATAGTAGAACCTTCTCAGGTGCTGTGTGGCTGAATGACCTTAAAAACAAAGCAAAACATCCTTCACTTGCTCCTAATATACCTTGAAAGAACAGCCATTGGGCTGAGTCATTTCTTTGTCGTGGAAAATGGAATACCTTCAATAAATAGCCTTGGAGAGGAGGATGGGATGGAGTTAGGTACGAGATACAACAGGGAGAATGTTTGATACAGTGAAGAGTGTTGGTTTGGAGTTATATATAGAAATAAATGTTCTATTTAGAAAAGGAGTTTCTTTGTGTGTGCCTATGTATTATTACTTTTTTAAAAATAAATGCCTTGATATTCTCTGTTGTTGTTGTTAAGTGCCATTGAGTAGATTCCGGCTCAGAGTGACTCTGTATAGAGTTTCCGAGGCATGGCTAGGGAGTTTGAACTGCTAACCTTGCTGTTCAAACCAATCTTGTGGTCCAGTGCTTATCCTACAGCACCACACCAGGGCTCCTTCTCTCCGTTAGTATTCTTAAAATTGAGGAGATTGGAATTTATTTTTCATAAAGAAATTGTTATATGAATGCAAATAAAATATTTGCTATGTGTGTATCGACTCACAAGTCAGCAGAACAATGAACTTTCAGGAGGGAGTGTGGGTGCCTGTGTGAGTTTATAGAAGGCAGTGTTAATTCTGGCTAACGTGATGCAAGACATTAACATGAGTTACGCTCTTAATAGAGCTCAACAAGGTTTCTCACAGCCCTGCATGGAGGTTGGGAATTTAGGCGAGGAGAGATTAAATCATAATCCCAGACTCATGGAAAAGGAGAAAAGTCACCAGAAATTGCCACTTGTTTTCTATGATGTGATATCTCATTTTCAAAAAGCAAATTTCACAACCCAGCAAATTCCATAGGTGAGCTCCTCAGTTGGACTTGTCTTCACAGTGAAGCAAGCAAAGTCGCTGCTTGAATATTCCACAGGCATTTTCTGCAAGCCTTTCTGATGAAAAACCTAATGTGTTAAAAATCACACAGATTTCAAAAATCCAATTTATTATCCAGGATTAGCTATAACTAATAATTTTTCATAAACTCCAGCAATAGGTATTTTTGTCTCCCTGAGGGAAAATGGAATTTCAAGCCTTCTGTGAAGCTCTAATTAAATATTATATTTTTAGACCAAGAAGAGTAATCATCATGTATACATCACAAGACTAATTTATATTCCAAAGTCAAAATGACAAATAACAAGAGAAAATCATAGCATTATTACCAAAAGAGAAATCTCTTTGTTAATCACTGACTTAACAATTGTGAAACCTGATAAGCATTTTTTTTTTTTTTTTTTTTTAGGACTAAGTTTGATGACCACCAGTAAAGGAAGCTGGGAGGGGGGCACTGATCTCTGATAATACTTGAAAGGCCTTGAATTAGGTGTCTGCAGAGCGAGCTTTTTCAATTTGACTTAAGCATGCTAGTTTATTAAAATGCAACAGTGAAAGAGAGGGAGTCCCTGGGAGGTGTAAATAGTTAGCACCCTTGGCTGGTAACTGAAAAGTTGAGGGTTCAAGTCCACCCAGTGGTGTCTTGGAAGAAGAGTCTGGTGATCCATTTCCCAAAACTCAACCATTGAAAACTCTATGGAGCACAGTTCTACTCTGGATTTACATGTTGAATTGACGATAATTGGTATGCAACAGAGAATGATTAAACCAACTGGTAAAAGCTGGGCAATATCAGCAAATCAATGTCAGCTTAAAGAAAAGAAAACCAAGTAGCGAAAAGGTCAGAATTACTTTCCTTCATTGGCCTATTGGTAATAAAGTGGGGACTGTCTAGTTTACTGTGTTGGCATCAAGAACTGCTTATGAGGTCTGGTCTTTGAGCCAGCTGACTTTCGTTCTATACTAAGCAGCTATAATATAAATATTGTGAAAAACTGAGAGTTTGGAGAAATTAGTGTAAAACCCTTGGTTGGCTCCATTATAGTTAGAACAATTCCAGGGAAATGCCCATAAGGTGATTTTCATTTGTTGTTGCCTCACGTGCCTCATGATTGTCGGTATGCTTAGTCCATTGAGGTGGCCATTGGAAACATTAAACTCATTGAGGGTTGCCCTCAGTTTTGTTCAACCTCCACTTTAACTAGCACAGTAGCCTTCTCTAGTGATTGGTCTTTTCTGATTATGTCTCAGTAAAATAATCAGGAAATATTTTATTGTGAACCACAGGGTTTTCATTGGCTAATTTTTTGAAGTAGAGCACCAGTCCCTTTTTCCTTGTCTGGCTGAATTTGGATACTCTTCTGAAACCTGTCCACTGTGGGTAACGTTTGAAATATTGGTTGGTTACCTTCCAGTGTCATTGTGCTGGTGTGGAGCTGGTAAGTACTGGACCACAAGGTGGGTTTGAATTTCAGGATCGGCAGTTCAAACCCATCAGTCACTCCTTGGAAACCCGAAACAGGATCATTATGAGTTGAAACCAACTTGACTGCATTTAACAACAACAACATAATAGCAACAAGCAAACCATCACAGTAAAACAAACTGACTGACAGATACCCACCCTACTGCCATCAAATCAGTTCGGACTCAGTGACTGGATATAAAGTTTCTGAGACTTTGTATCTTTATGGGAGAAGACAGCCTCATCTTTCTTCTGTGGAGCAGCTGGTAGGTTTGAACTGTTAATCTTGCAGTTAACAGATGCTAGTTATGAAATGATAAGTTTGTTGCTGCTGCTAAATGCTGTTGAGTCAGTTCCAACTCATAGCGACCCTATCTCTATAGGGTTTCCAAGGAGCAGCTGGTGGGTTTGAACT